GTGTGTGTGTGTGTACTCGTGTGTGAGAGAGAGTGTGTGTGTGTGCGCGTGTACGCACTGCTTGGTTTGAATGAATCAGTGGGTGCTTACAGCAAAGGGTGTATCCCTATGTATCCATGGCAGAGTTTGGGGTCTGTGGTTCAGACCTGCCTTTGGGCGGAGAACTGAAGAAGAATTCCTTTTTAAGGCAACATGCACATTTACATTAAAAAAAAAACTGAGATATCTCCACGCTCACCATAGCAGTCACTATTCTGCTGACGTATACAGGATCGTTTCTTCTTAGAACATCAGCCGAGGGATCTTTAAGAGCAGAGAGACTGTTGTCCAAAATTTGAAAGCAAATATCAATGACATCTTTTTCAAACTGTGAAAAAAAACAAAAGATGGCACTATGTCTTGAAATGACACACTAAAAAATGGAATAAAAAAGTCGGTAGGTTGTGAAAAATTAAATGGAAGTATTACTTGTCCAAAATTCCATGGTAATGTGTAGATGTTGGTATGTGAGCCATGATAGAGCAATCCATTCTCATTCAGAATATACTCCTGCAGCAAGTCTTCATCAGGCAGGTACACAGCATCCTCTGAGGGGATAGACAACTTAAATTCCAAACAATGCTATGTTCATCCTTTTAACTCTACTTGATTTGCATTTTATTGTGCAAAACCACACATTAAAAAGTAAGCTCACAGTTCAGCTTCCCTCTGGCTTACTGCATTAAAGTACTATCCAGTATTCAGCCAGTTCAATCACTTCTGCATAGGAGACAATAGGAGACACTGAAACTGAACACAGCATTCCTGAGCCAAATAGCGGGAACATAATAGGAATGGATTTTTGAAAAACAGTCATTTACCTGAAACATTAACTCTGTTTCATTTCTCCCTCTACAGATGCTACAAGACCTGGGAGTCTTTACTGCATTTGCTGCTTTATTGTAGATTTCTAGAATTTGCAGTATTTTGCTTTGATAATCAGGTCCTACTGTTACTAGCAGAATCAGCTGACAAGTGTGCCTGTTGGCCTGGTACATTTATTACAAGAGCCTCATCCATGTGTTTAAGTACATCCTTGATCTCATTTTATCTTGTCCCTGTAAATACCTACTGACTTATTTTGGTCTTACTATGTTTTCTATATATCCTCCCTCCTTCCCCAACATTACTAGGGATAGAGTCTTCAGTCATTTCACTACACACACTCAAATTTCCTCCCTAAAACCTCTCAGTCAGGCTGTGCTTTTCATCTCCCGAGGTGCAAAAGTCTCCTTAAAATCTGTCTCATGTATCATGTTTTTTTTAACTACTTCTGCTATTTACTACTTACTCCCACAACACAGATCCATCCTCCACTGTGTTAAGCACCTTGATGTTGGGGGTGAGGGGGTGGTTACCATAATAAGGCAGGATATGCCATTATAATTTGCAGTTGTTGCAGTCACACAGAATGTGTTAGCTTTTGCAAAATGCTGAAAATGTCCTTGTTTTAAACTTAATAAAAGCTGACTGTTTGAAATAACCAATTCCTCCTCAGGTCAGTGGTAGCTTATTACCACTGTACTCTATATTGCATACTTCTATTCAACAAATCTGTTGAATATTAAAGAATGTCATGAAATTCATTCCCTGATTCAGGATGCTGATTTATAGCACTGGTGATGTAAAGGCTTTGCTATAGCCCAAAATGGCAGAGTTGATGAAATTCACAGGATCTATGCCTGAATGACTTGCTAAGCTGCCATCTTGCTCTAGTAATGGTAACTATTTATCACTGAGTTAAACACACGATAAGGAAATGCAATGTGGCGTTAGTATCATCAAACTGGACTTGAATGTCAAGGTTCACGTGAGGTATGAGCGCAGAACTAGACCCGTTAAGTTACTTCCAGCAAGATGGCAGCAGGGTAAGTTGCTCCACTCTGCTCGTCAGTTTGCTTTCTCTTCCTTTCTTTGTCCTTCCTTTTTTTTTCTCCCTTCTTCTCTCTCCCTCCGTAGTAATTCTATGCCCTTCCCCACCCCTTTTAACGACCTACCTAAGAAGTTGGGAAGGAGCTGGGTTGCGATCGGGAGCCACGTGGTGGGAGCTGAATGCGCGGGTTGTTTCCTGCAGTGACAGTGGATCCAGCGTGGGCCAGAGCGACGGCAGCGGATCAAAATGAGCCGGCGAGAGCGGGCTGGTGAGGCAACAGTGGTGAGAGCGAGCCGGAGAGGCGGCTGAGAGTGGGCCGGAGAGGTGGCTGAGAATGGGCTGGAGAGGAGGCTGAGAGTGGGCTGGAGAGGGGGCCGAGAGTGGGCTGGAGAGGGGGCCGAGAGTGGGCCGGAGAGGCAGCGGCAGTGAGATCGGGTCAGTGAGGCAGCCCGGAGCGAGACACTGGCAGAGGCATGGCGAGGGCTGGAAAGCTTGGAGTGGGTCTGCGGCAGTAGAAAGGAAAGTTGGACTCTCTTAAGTTATCATTTTTTTCTTATCTTATTCTAAGTTAACGTGAATGGCGCCATATATGTACGGCGAAGATACACACTTTTCACTGTAGTTTTACATTGAATACACGTGACAATAAATGATCCAATTCAATAGAAGAGGGTGTCAAGATATTTCTCACTCACAAATAGTAGACTGTTCTATTGCTCCTGTTGCATTTATTCTCTGTATAAAAGATAGTAAAATGTAAACTAGGTCATGGTCTTGGCATGATTAGAGTGTTTTTTAAAATCTAAATGAAATGTTTACAATTATCTTTTTTATGGAGAGCTGCAATATATGAAAGAGTTTGCTGTGCGAGTTTGATTGTGGGTACTTCTAGAATTTGGTATATGTAGTGTAGACAGTAAAGCTCTGTCTGATGGCCATCATGTGAATACCATGGCCATTTAACAGCACACAGTGAACACTACAAACATTCTCTGAAGGTACACACATAGGTGCCAAATAATTTAATTGCATAATTCTTCTCTCAGTAATTTCATTAATGAAGCAAATAAACAAAATACTCTTATGCAGTTCTGCAAAAACTAAACACACCTGCAAAATTTAGCTTCACACAGCAGTAGTAGCTACTCCTTTTAGATAAGTAATAAGGTTTCCAATTCTTATTTAGCAGGGTGGGCTCAAAGAGTTGGGACTCAGCATTTTAATGAGGCATTCATTTAGGAAAGGAATGTGTTTGTGTAGTCATTTTTAAATTGACCAGGCAAAACCTCAAAGCCGAGGTGACATAATAAATGTTATAACTGATACTCCAAAGGGTAAGCCTACAGCACAAAATGTTTCGACTGGATTTTGAATAGGAGATCAATACAGTGAAATAATTTTTTGTCTTATATATTGTCTTTTTCAGATTTCTGTCACTGCTGGATTGAGAAACGATACGGCCAAGAGAATTTAGGGGAATAATTGTTTGCATGATCTGATTATGGGGGTACATGCTGGTTAATGAATAAAAGCTTTGTAAAAAATGGATCAGGGTACTGAATGTATGATTTTCTAGTTGCTCATTCCTCATTAATACTACTTACTACTTTCAATTATATCATACTTAATCATGGATTGGTAATTGATAACTTAGAAGATCAGTTGCTCAGAGAGTCAATTATCATTTCTCCTGTATAGCTTTATAGCTATACTGACATTATATAGTTCCAACAACACTCATGAAGCTTGACATCATCCAGGGCCAAGCAACCTCTTGATTGGCATCACATTCACAAACATCCACACTCTCCACCACCGACACTCAGTGACAGCAGGGTGTGCTATAAACAAGATGCACGGCAGAAATGGACCACAGATCCTTGGGCAGCAGCTTAAACCCACAACCGCTTCCATCCAGAAGGACAAAGACAGCACCTGCTAGTTCCCCTCCAAGCTGCTCACCATCCTGACTTGGAAATACATTGCTGTGTTCTTTCTGGGTCAAAATCCTGGAATTCCCTCCCGAATATTGTGGGTCTACCTATAGCACATGGACTGCAGCCGTTTGAGAAGGCAGCTCAGCACCACCCTAAGGACAACTAAGGCTGGGCAATAAATGCCGGCCCAGCCCACAACGTCCACATCCCTCAAGTGAATAAAAAAAACTTGAACTCCCTAAAAACAGGATTAGCAAAGGCTTTTAAATAATCTAATGTTTTCCTTTTTTTTCTCATTGGTAGACTCTCTCATTTAGAGCCTGTTCCTTCTATTATTGCTCCTAAGTTTGTTGTATGGGTTTGTACGAGTCTCCTTCACTCTGACACTGAGCCTCAGCTGTAAAGCATAGTGTGACCCAGTGGTCCATCTCTCTCTCTCAGCCAGGTTGTTGGTTGAAGCCACGGTTAAGATTTAAACACATCAACTGCACTGACAGTTCATTGTCAACAGGGCTGTTTTTCAAAGGTCCTGCCTACATCATTGGCCATTAGGGCATCTTGTTAAGCACAAACTG